ACATGAAGGTCCCAGGAGGTCAGTGCCTCAAAGCGGGCACAGACAAAGAGATCAGAGCTTTCCACTACTTATTGGATTCATACAATAATTGGAGAGAGTATCAGGTGGCTCAGAGGGCGGTGGTAATCCTAAATTGAGGAGGATCTTATGCTGAGGAGGATCCAAGGTCCAGAAGAGCTTAAATTGTTGAGGAAGGTGAGATAAGCAAAACTTCTTACAACAGCAGGTGGGATGAGTTAAACTGGTAAGGAATTTGTCCCTCCCCAAGTGAGTCCTTGCTCTTCTTTTGTTACTACTCTGTTTTCAAAGAACCAGGATGTCTTCAGCTGATGTAATGTTGCCCTTGAGCATCACAGCATCACAGGACCATTGAGGCCTCAGCTGTGACCAGAGGCAAAACGGAGTTAAGTTTCCTCATGCCATAGCCAGCTCAAAGGCAAGAAGACTAGGCCTCGGACAGCCCTAATCATAATTTAATTATGAAATGATTTTCCCAAAAATGATGTAGAATGGCTCCCGACATAACCTGAGTAATTTAGTGGCTTAGATTCTCCTGTCTCAAAATAAAAAGTACAAAGGACTGGGGATGTAGTTTGGTGTAAGGGTGCTAGGTTCAATTCCCAGCACCAGGTGCTAAAAAGGAGTCATATTGAGAGCTAATTAACAAAGCATTCTTCAAATGTATTAAGACCTGGTTGTCATTAACATCTATGAGTATATATTACATACTTAAAAAATCAAATAGATTTGATTGAAATATACAATGATTAATCTAAGACTATATGCTACAAATACAAAATTTTTCTTTATTATTTACACTTTTTCTTCATCTCCTCTAAGGAGCCACAATTCTTAATTTAGTATAACGTAACACAATCATAATTGAAAATCTATGATATCTTTATATTTTATAATGAGAAAAATTTCAAACTTTGTATAAACCTTTCTATATGGATATATATTTCCAACACAAGGTAGGAGGAAATAATGCATTAAAAAATGATACTATCTGACTAATAATGTGTTCAGAGAATTATGACTTTGAAATTATGCCACGAGTGTCTAAACTATCTAATACAGAAGATCAGTCTATAAATTAAAATTAAATCTATAAATTTAAATTTATATAAATTAAATTAAATTTTAATAAATCAAATCATATAAATTATATATAAATTAAAATTTTATATAAATTAAAATGTATATATAAATTAAAATTTTATAAATTAAATTTTAGATAAAAAATATTCATCACTTTAAGAACCAAAACTTAGGTTAGAAAAACATTTCTGATATACACAGAGTTCTATTCCTGCAGAGGATTCTGAACACACTTTTATCTTTGGGATTTAACACATCACAATCATCAAGATTGCCCTTTGCTTCTGTCCTAAATTGCTCGAGCACACTGTGCTTTTAGAAACTTTGGGCCATTTGTTTTTGAGTCATAATTTTCTACTTATTATAAGGTTGGGTATATACATTGTAGGAAGTTTTACATACTATAGAAAATGTAAAGAAGCCGATAAAAATCATGCCCCAGAAGCAACCACTGTGGACTTTAATGACCTTTTTACATGCTATACTAGTTTGTGGAGGCCCCATATCAAATCACCACAAAGCATGGGACTTAAAACAACAAAAATTTATTCTCTTAGTGATCAGGAAGCCAGGAGTCTGAAATGAGGCGTCAGCAGGGTTGGCTGATGCAGTCCTTGACTACAAGACACACTCATCCAGTCTCTGCCCCCAACATCACATGGCCTGTTCTCTGAATGTGTCTTTCTGGGTCTCTCCTTTTCCTATACAGGACATTAGTCCTTGGATCTAGGGCCACCCTTCATTCAGTACAACCTCATCTTCACTGAGCGCATCCGCAAAGACCATGTCTCCAAATAAGGCCACATTCTGAGGCTCTAGGTAGACATGAATTTGGGCAGGCACTTACTCAACCAGTACATACAACATGATACATATCTGTATAGCTGTAATAAGGGAATTTACATTTTTATATGGCTTAGTTCCTTTTCCATTTACTACACCATGGAAATTTCTCCATCTTTCAAAAATGGCCTCTAAGCTGGGGATTTAGGTCAGTGGCACTGCTCCTGCCTCACAAGCACAGGGTCCAGAGTTCCTACAGAGCTTTCCTACAACTTCAGACATGAAATGGTTTCTAGTCTTTATTATAGATGATTTATTATTTTGGTACACATACCAAGACCTTTCTCTCTGTTTATTTCTTTGGTATAAATTGTAGTGTGTTGAATTATTGGATTAAGGAGTATGAACATTTTAAAGGTTTGTGAAAAACTCATTTAACTGACTCCAGAGACTGTATCAATTTATTATTCACAGCGAGAGGAGATGGCCCATCACACAGAATCACGTTCATACTTTGCTTTGCAGTTGCTTTAATGTTTGATAAGTAGTAGCAAATAAAATGACAACTCTCTCTTGTAGTTGTATTTTTACATGAGGCTGCATCATTTTCGGTTTTTAGTTACTTGCAATGCCTTTCTGAGTAGCTAGTTTATATCTGACATCTGTCTAAATTGTTTTTAGTTGACAAATTGATATCCCTTATCTGAAATACTTGGGGCATTTAGATTTGAGGTTTTTTTTTCAGATTTTGGAATATTTATATATACACAATAGATATCTGGGGAACAAGACCCAAGTCTAAACATGAAATTTATTTGTTTCATATATGCATAGCCTGAAAGTAATTTTATGCAAATTCTTGGTGTGTCTCATTTTGACTACAACCTATCATGTAAAGCAGATGTGAATTTCTCACTTGTGATATCATGATTGAAATAAAAAAGTTTTGTATCTTGAACCAGGTGTGGTGATGCACACCTGTAATCCCAGCACTCAGGAGGCTGAGGTAAAAGTATGGCTGTGAGTTTGAGGACAGTATGGGCTACATAGTGAGTTCAACTTCAGTCTGGACTACATAGTAAGACCCTGTCTCAAAAAAAAAAAAAAAGAAAAAAAGAAAAAAAAGTTTTGTATTTCATATTTTTGGACTGCAGTTACTCATCCTGACATTATTGTGGGGGGGTTTTCCCTGTGTGTGTTGTGTGTGTATGTGTGTGTGTGTGTGTGTGTGTGTTTGGGTTTTTGAGGCCAGGTCTTCTTATATAGTTCAAGCTGTACTCAAACTCGCTATATAGCCCAGTCTGGCCTCAGATTCACAGAGATCCTCCTACCTCAGACCCCCCAAGTACTGGGATTATAGGTATGCGCCATCACAACCAATCTCTGTCATTACTATTTTTGTTGTTGTTCTTTTTTTTTTTTTTTTCCTGGTACTGGGGATCAAACTCAGGACCTTGAGCTTGGGAGGCAGGTGCTGTGCCAGAGCCACATCCCCAGCCCTGTCATTATTTCTTTATAATATTTATTTCTTTCCATCTTGCTGACAAATATACTCTTCACCCCCACCTTTTTTAGTTCACTGTAAGCTAAGAAGCCATGCAAACACAATCCCTCCCTTCCTTCTCCCCATTTTCCTGACCACCTCTGAACTTCGTACAGACTTCAGTAGTTACCTCTGTTGTTTGTGTCTGGTTTACTAGTCACTTTCTCTTCTAAGACTTCAAGCCTTTTGGGGCATTGTCCATGTCTTATCCGTATTTTTTTGAAGCGATTGTTAGATTAAGTCATGGAAACATTTAAAATTGTTTATTAAGACAATAGCTAAGTAAGATGCTATAAAATCCATAGGTTATCTCTCTCTCTTTTTTTTTTTTTTTGGTATCAGGGATTGAACTCAGGACCTTGCATTTGTAGGGCAAGCAAGGAGCTACTGAGCTAAATCCCTGACCCCAGAGATTGTCTTTGTAAGCATAGGATATAATCCACAGCATTTATAATTTAAATCTCAATTTTTTAAATTTTTCTCTTGTTTTTCAGCTATATTTTTGAGATATTTGGGACTGAGCAATATATAAATAGGCAAAATGTTAGCAATAATAAGTATAATATTTTTATAAGAGTTGAAATTGTCAGAATTTTAAAATTTAATTTTTCCATTGAAATCATTAGCTATACTTGCAATAAATATAGCATAAATTTATGCAATTTGTACAGTTTGAAATAAATTCCCATTCGAAATTCAACTGTGGGGCTGGGGATGTAGCTTAGTGGTGCTCACCTGCCTGGTAAGTGCAAGGCCCTGAGTTCAATTCTCAGTTCTAGAAAAAAAGCAACTGTGAAAAAAAATTTAACTGTGAGAAAGTCTATTTGAAAAATTTTGAAAATATCTTTTAATATTTCCATTCACAATGAGATCATACAATATAACATGAAAAATTATGAGAGTGAACTTTGAAAAATTGCCCTAGCCGCAAGAAATTTCTTATCAATGCTTATTAGCATTACTACGTGGTCAGATTTATTTTCACACGGATATTAAAATAAATAATTGCCATAAATGGGCTTTTGGTTCTGATAGTTTTTACATCGCAACATCCTCCCTCTCTGTCCTTGTCCCCACTTTGTCCTCCCTCTTTCCCATCCCAATGACTAAAATACCACTGTCCTGGAGGACCAGTCCAAGCCCTATTTGCTGGACTGTGAGGGGTCCCTTCACCCCAGCACAACCAAGGAGCCCTTTCCACCCCCCACCCCACCCCCCGCACCCGGGGATGATTTCATAACTCAGTAACTCTGCGAAGTGCTGTAGCTGTTCCCCAGCGGATTTAAATCCCCTATAGGTGGTAAGCACCTAAAGACTCAGGTGAAAAGGGGGTCTGCCGAATACACTCAAATACACTGCGTGTAACCATGGACGCTTGAAGGGCATCCACCTTCGCCGTCCCAAGATTGAAAGTTTTCTAGGAATGTTGAAGAGCGGGCACTTCTGTAGCCTCACAGCCTGCCCCTTTGCGAAGTTGTGATGTTTCCACTTTGTTACGAAGGTCTTCTCAGACCCTCTCTCTCACCGCGTGCAAATACCACGTGCAAGCGCGTGTGAGCTTGCGTGTGCGCGCACATGCGGTGGGAACCAATCTCGGCGCCTGGGTTTGAAGGGAGAAACGCATCGGAGCTTTTTTCATCCTGGCTGTTAACATCTAAGTCTTTCGAGGGTTTAGCATTATTTTGTGGAAGGGGCTTTCGGGGTTTTTCGGGCTTTTCGAGTGGACGCAATCTGCCAGCACCGCCGAGGACAGAGGTGAGGGAGATTTTGTTTTTAAGAGCGTGGGCGTCTCATCAAACAAATTGGTCGTTTGCTTGGTGAATTAAATACGAGCCAGCTGAGGACAATTTCCAGGTCGCAGAGCAGAGGGGCAGGAGTCTGAGGTTGAAGGAGCCATTTCGGCGCGGGGATGCAACAGGGTTTGGGAGTGGGGGACAGGGAGGAGGCCACTTGGCGGGCTTTGTTTTCGATGGTGGCCGCTTCCCGAGCAGAGCTGAAGCGTGAGCCGAGCGGAGGCCGAGGGGGCTCTCTCCACACTAATTGGAAGGGTAAGGGAGTGACTCATGTTACACCGGTCCGATCTTCCTTCCCTGTGGCTGCTAAATCGTAGCTTTAAAAGGAAGTGACATGGGTGGGGAGAGACGTCAGCTGAGGACCACTTTTTTTTTCCTTCCCGTAGGGTCCACCCCTTGGGTGGAGTCTCGCTTTTTCTTTCCAGTGTTGGTTGACTTACAGCTCCTATAAAGTAGTGGCAATCTCTGAACCCTAGCCGGCTCTCGTTCAGTTTCTGGCTCCTAAGTCCATGTGCCAAGGGCTGTCAGGAAAGAGGTAGGTGCCTCGGTGCCGTCCCCAGGCACCTTCCCTGGGTGTGGTCGGCTCTGGATCGCTCCGGCTCCGGCTCCCGCCCGCGTCTCCCTCGGACCCTGCGGGGTGGGCGCCGGGCTGAACGCGCCGCGGGGCTCAGGGGCTCGGGTGGCTTCGCAGCCCCGGAGGGACCCTTGCTTTGTGCGGCCGGTGAGCGCCCTTTCGGGGCTGCGGGCAGCTTCAGTTCGTGCCCGTCCACCCTTCCTCGAGGGAAAGCAGTTCTCTGCCACAGACGAAGCTAGGGAGAGCCTTCGTGGTACGTACTGCTCTCTTTTGTGTCGTGCAACACGTTTTTCCGTCCCCTGGCGTTTCTATGGCAACCACCAAAAAATACTATCCCAAATGCAGCCCCGATCTAAATTGGTTTATTTGTATTTCCTTCCTGAGTTTGCTATGGCTTGGGCTTGCTGGGCTCCGGAGTAGCTTGGCGGCTACCCCTCCTCACTTTCATTTTGGTTTTTCCCTAGCACAGGAGGGCTGGGGGAGGGGAGTTGTCAAGGAAACAGGCATTTGTAATTTCCTCTTTATTTACTTAATTTTTGGCCTACGAATGTATCTCCATCATCTAGGGATTAAAAAGGGGTACTTTGATATTTTGGAAGTTTTCAGTGTCTGTTATATTTTTTTCTTAAAAAAATCTAAACATCTCTCAGGATAGGGCACTCTGATCAAGCTGAGAGAGAAAGGACACTTAGTTCTTTATACAGCGGGAGAGAACCTTGAAATAAAGTTTTAGAGAGTACTTGAGAATTCAGGCTGATAAATACATGTTATCAACTGCCCAGTTTGCCTACAAGTCTAAATACTTATAAGATGGGTCTTTGCTCTAGTCTGAACTACCACATGGAAGTTCAGTTAGCATGAGTGAGTAACAGATGGTAACTGCCCAGTAGGAGTCTGTGTCTCCTTTTTGTGCATTACCCTTGGATTGTCAACATGCCTGAAGGCCAGGATTAGTGGACTTTCTCCTTGCAAAACTGGAAGGCTTTGGCCATCTGTGGTTATTAGTCAGCCGTCCTCAGCTAGGAAAAAATGTATCTTGAGAGAAGGGAGAAAGTGTGTGTGGCAGTGCACAGATGTGTACATGCATATGTGCTGTGTTGTGTGCAGGGAGGAGGGAGACAGGTAGGGACCTCAGTAACAAAAGTCAGGAATCCCAAGTTAAAACTGCTGATCTTGTTCATGTTCTCTGAAGGGAGAGAAAGCCCTTATTTTCAGGGGGGAAAAAGTATGAAACAGAGAAAATTATCATCTACCTAATAACAAGCAGAAAACAATGAGAATCAATTCATCCCTTAGAAAGGCAAAGTCCAAATGTGTCAGTTATCACCTCAATGATACATCTGAGGAAATGTTTGATAATGGACTCAGTTCTACTGATGGGAATCCCAAATTGCCAAAATTACCTCTTTAATAGAGATCCTCACTAATCCCAACCTTCATTCCTACAATGATCTGCAATAAGATTTATGAAGGTTGTGTAGTCGTCACAATACCTTCTGACTATTAGAGCCAAAAATATTGCCTAGTAAACCTCAGCACAACCCTGCCATGTAGCAGCAGGAAGAAGTGGTGGTTCTCTTTGCCCAGGTCCAATCTAAACTTGCCGACTTCTGTATCCTATTTCTGATACAAAAGTTATCCAAGAATAGAGGTTAAACGGCACAGCACAAAACTAGTGCTAAAGGAATGAAAAGCATGAGAACTGCTGAAGGGGCGCAGAGCATTGGCAAGTACAATGTCGTCAAAAAATATGTGACACCCACTTTGCAAAGCACACGTTAGAACCTGCAGAGAAATGGTTAGATAGTAGTTTCAGTGGTTTGTAGAGTTTTGGAAAGCGGTCTGCTAAGTTACTGTTTTTCCAGCCTGAAAATGGATCTCAAGGATGTAGATTTACCACGTGACCTTTCAAGTCAAACTGACAGCGCCTAAGTCAAAGTCTGCTTTGGGAGCACTCCTGAGTTACCAGACCTCGAAGTTTCACAGCGAAGTCTCTAATGGGATGGAATTCAAAAGAAAAATAACGAGAATCATTTGGAAACATAGTGAAAACCAGGCAAAACACACTTTCTGATATTCAGATAGAGACCAAATAGAGATTAGTAGCCTTGATCCAGGGAAGGTAAGTGGAGCTGTGGGTGTGAATTCAGGGTCCTTGAAAGAGGCTGGCTGAGGTGATCCTGAGAAAGGGACCACGGAGGCTGTGGGGTCCTTTGCTGCCTTGGCTGTCACTGCAAGGCTCCAACCTGGGTGGTGAGGAGAGTGGAGGGTGTGGCTGCTCTCGAGTTTGACATCCACCTAATGGAGGTGCCATGTAGGTGACACACAGCTGCAGAGAAGGAAACCAGAGCGAGTAACCACTGAAATCTGCAAGGAAAGGAGGCCAAGCAAGGAAGCCAAGGTGTCCCCCATAGCAGAGATGGGTGACAGGAGTGGGTTGCGGCCGCCAGTCAAGATCCTGGTTCTCAGCAGGGAGAATATTTAGTGGAGAAATAGAACCGGTATGCTCTGGGCTGGCAGAAAGAACAAGAGGTAGAAATAGATTCAGAGATTGATTTTTTTTTTTTAATTAAGACAAGAATAAAGACTTTGAGTGAAAATAGAAGGAAAAAAGGAAATAAAGCTTTTGCACATGGGGAGGGAGCTTTTGTACTTAAGGGAGATGGGATAAAATAATAATAATGATGATGATAATTATAGAATAAAGACTTTGAGGCACATGCCTGTAATCCCCTGAGGCCAGCCTGAAGTGCACAGTGAGTTCAAGGCCAGCCTAAACTACATAGGGAGACCCTGTCTCAAAAAAACAAAAAAGAGAGAAAAGAAAGACTTTGAATAACAGACAGAATCCTGGCCAGGCATGGTGGCACATGCCTGTAATCCCAGCACTTGGGAGGCTGAGGCAGGAGGATCACTGTGAGTTCGAGACCAGACTGGGCTACATTGTGAATTCTGGGGCAGTCTGAGCTACATAGTAGAACCTGTCTCAAAAAAAAACAAAAACAAAACAAAAAAACAAAAAACAAAACACACACAAAACAGAATCCTTCCTAATTCTCTCTCTCTCCCTCTCTCTCTCTCTCTCTCTCTCACACACACACACACACACACACACACACACACACACACACATGTAACTGTATTTCATTGAGTTTGTTGGTTCTCTTTAGGTGTGCAGTACAGTTACATTCATCATTGGGATCTTGTACCTTTACATGATGTATACTTATTCTTATTTTTTCCCCATTCCCCTGGCCTCCCTTCCACCCCCACCCCCACATACATATTAACTGGAGTTCAAAACCTGAAGGCCAGGTTTAAACTTCAAACAAGAAATTTTAAGAGAACCCCAAATTCACCATATTATGTCATCCTAATGCTTCCTACTATTAGCAATGCTCTAAATTGTGAGGTGCTCCAGTGAGCACTTAGTAAAAATAGTACATTTTGTTCTACCTGGTGTACTCTGAAAAGCAGGTCTGATGGATGTGGGAACAGCAGCATTTCTGAGTAGTGTTCGATACCTATCAGATAGACAAATGTGACCACTCCTGGCTTAATATGCATTTAACATTGCCAGAATCCAGGCAACTCTAATTCAGCAGCTTTTGTGAAGACAGAATCATTTTGAGCCAGGCATAGTAGCACAGGCCTATAAACCAAGGCTGAGGCTGGAGAATCATCGTGAGTTAGAAGCCAGCTTGAAATATGTGGGG